AGCGAGTCAATTCGCAGTTATCGAGGTCGATGTCAGGTCGTGATCTGTTTGGTGACTGACCACCTTTAAGAAGTGGTAGACCACCTTCAAGAAGTGTCAACCTTCACGAAGTGCCAGACAGTCGGCGGTCAGAGGACTCGAGTGCCAAAAACATTCTTAGGGGACCTTGCGGTCCTGTTCAAAACATATTGGCGTAGCACTAGATGCTCACCAAGCAGTTTTGGATGTCGGCTATATCGACGCATCATAAGATGCCTTACAAGCAAGCAGCGGCTGCTTGCAGGACCTTCTACCCGGTATGGATCTTTGAAAGCAGAGTTCCGCACTCCACCGTGAGATCTACGTCGGATAGGTGGACCTGCCATCCTACCGCTGTTAGCTGTAGTCATCTTGAGGGAGTCGATATGGTGAGGACCCGACAAAGAAAATTCTCAGTAGACTTTGCTGCCGTGTTTTTGGAACTTATTGGCGTAGCACTAGATGCTCACCAAGGAGTTCTGGATGTCGGTTATATCGACAAATCATAAGATGCCTAACAAGCAAGTAGCGGCTGCTTGCAGGACCTTCTTTCTACCTGGTGTGGATCTTTGAGAGCAGACTTTCGCACTCCACCGTGAGATCTACATCGGATAGGTGGACCTGCCATCCTACCGCTGTCAGTTGTAGTCATCTTGAGGGAGTCGACGAGTTGAGGACCCGACAAAGAACACTGTCAGGGGACTTTGGTGCCGTGTTTGAAACATATTGGTGTAGCACTAGATGCTCACTAAGCAGTTTTGGATGTCTGTCATATCGACACATCATAAGATGCCTTACAAGCAAGCACCGACCGCTTGAAGGACCTTCTACCTAGTGTGGATCTTTGAGAGCAGAGTTTCGCACTCCACCGTGAGATCCACATCGGGTAGGCGGACCTGCCATCCTACCGCTATTGGCTGTAGTCATCTTGAGAGTCGATGTGGTGAGGACCCGACAAAGAACACTCTTAGGGGACTTTGCTGCCGTGTTTGGAACTTATTGGCGTAGCACTAGATGCTCACCAAGCAGTTCTGGATGTCGGTTATATCGACTTATCATAAGATGCCTTCTAAGCAAGCAGCGACTGCTTGCAGGACCTTCTACCCGGTGTGGATCTTGAGAGCAGAGTTTCGCACTCCACCATGAGATCCACATCGGATAGGCGGACCTGCCATCCTACCGCTGTTGGCTGTAGTCATCTTGAGAGTCGATGAGGTGAGGACCCGACGATGTTCCAATTGGGACGTGCTCTTGTTTCGTGATGTGCAGGTGCTTACAGGCGGTGCGTTCGATCCCCTCATCGACGTGAAGCAAAGTGCGAGGGAATTGCTCAGGGCTCACACCAGAAGTGCGATTGAACTCGCACTTTGATGGAGAAGCAGTTGCGCAGTCCATCAGCGCGACGATTTAATATGGACATTGGCTTGTCATTTCTATATCACAGGTTGAAAACGCCATCAAATCTTTCTGTGTAGAAGATTCATATCCATTCATACAAGTATCTCTTGTCATCGCAAACATCGAGATGAAAACATCTCAAGTCAAATTGCAAAGCACACAGAGACATCGCAAACATCGAGGTGAAAATATCTCAAGTTGCGCACTGTTTTTCCAAAGGTGAAGTCTCAGAGCAGACGATCAGTTTCCAGAAACCATTCTATGCAGAAATTTCATTCAAGGGCAAATTGCAAAGCACAGAGACTTTCCAAATTGAACGTAAAATATCATACAATGCCACATTGCAAGTGCACGGAGGATTTCCAAAAATCACAAAGTACATGGAGCCAAAGTGCGAATATGTTCTCATTTCCCATATGGAACCAACAGTTCAATCACAAATGCACGGCATCCAAACTGCGAATATGTTCGCATTTCTCATACGGAAACAACAGCCAGCATCCAGTGGAGAGCACGAGACGTACTCCGGGGATAACAAAATTGTCAATCATTTATTGCACCGCTGAATCCGTTAAACAAGTTCAAGCACAAGTCAAATTGCAAAGCACACAGAGACATCGCAAACATCGAGGTGAAAACATCTCAAGTTGCCTAGTGTTTTTCCAAAGGTGAAGTGTCACAGCACACAAACAGGTACCAGAAACCATTCAATGCAGGAAATTCATTCGAGGGCAAATTGCAAAGCACACAGAGACGTTTCAAAAAGCCAATGAAGGCGAAATATCATACAATCCCACATTGCAAAGTGCACGGAGGCTTTTCAAATATCACAAAGTACATGGAGCCAAAGTGCGAATATATTCTCATTTCTCACATGGAACCAACAGTTCAATTACAAATGTACGGCATCCGAAGTGCGAATATGTTCGCATTTCTCATACGGAAATAACAACCAGCATTCCGTGGAGAGCACGAGATGTATTCCGGAGATAATTAAATTGGTGGTCACTCAGTGCACCGCTGAATCCGTAAAACAACTTCAAACACACATACATTCTGACGACAATTGGTTTCCAAATGGAGAACAAGTACGCAACTGTCATAAGGAACCAACATACAGCATTCAATCGAGACAAGCAGAGGGGGTGAACCGTAAAACGGGGCGGCACACGCAGAACAAGGACGAGCCAGAACATATGAAAGCTGGGTGGTCGGGGTGGGGCGGGGGAGAGGGGCTTTCACACCACAAAGTCTCGCGAACGAAAGAGATAAGCACGAAACAGTTTGGCGACTAAGAATAAATCGTCGATATCTTTCACATGAGTAAAAGAGGAGCACAACCTCTAAACGAATAAACGCAGCACGGTGCTGCCGCGGTCTGAGAGGACATAAGGAGAACAACCCGAAAATAAATAAAAAGAGCACAAAGTTGGGATATTCACATCCGATATGTAAGCGTCTACTTAAAAGGAACTGCACCACGTGGCTGAGATATTTACATCGGCATCTAAACTTCTACTTCACGTAAGCGTCCGCTACTACCCTCTAGCTGATGTTGCGCGGCAGGCAATGAGAACAACCCGAAAACAAACAAAGGAAGCACGACGCTGCCGAAAGTCCTACGAGTAAAGATGACAGGTTCCACAAAATGAAGAACCCTTAAAAAATTGATACAGCACGAGGCTGGGATATTCACATCGATACCTAAGCCTGTACTTGACCAAAACGTCCACTGCAATCCGGCACCTCATGAAAACAACAGCACATCTCGAACCGGCTGACTGCTAGATCAAGCGGGAATAGATTCGCACTTCTACTTATTGCATTTCGAAAAAAAAACTACGAGTATTTTTATAACAGTGGTATCATTTAGCGCCTTGGAGTATATCCACCGCAATCCTCAGCCGGATGTTTGGAATGTCGCTTTGGGCTATCAGAAATGGTGGCGGACAGCCGCGTGCAAGAAATGAAGCGAAGGCGAGCATGAAAACACCGCAACTCGACCCGTCCAATTGTTGAGGGACACCACGAACAACCACCTTGGGCTCCTGGAGATCCACTTTCGGTTTTGGACCATAATGACAAACTGCTTCGTCACGGAGGTATTGCGTGAAGTTCTCAATCACATCAGAAGAAAAACCGCCATCGTCTTGTACGAAGGAGTCGTAGTACTCCTGCCGTTGTTCTCGGAGACACAATAGGGTCCAATGCACTCCATGTTTATGGACAGGAATCAAGACCATCTCGTGCGAGAAAATATCCACATCTTTTGTCCATCTCGCAACCCTATCATGTTGATAGCCGCCACGGACGAGCTTGGTATAGAAAAATGGACTGAAAATGTAAAGAGAGGGACACCCAGGCAACGCAGCGTTGGCAAGCAAGGCCAAGTACGACTTCACCACCTCGTCGGAAAGCCATTCCCCCTGAACAAGAGTTTGGAGACTTTTTCTGCTCAACGTAATTGAACTGACCCCTTTGCGAACCGAGCACACCACCTCGTGGCCGTTGCTGTAATCTCCACAGACGTTCCGCAACATTCTCAAGTCCGTAGCGCTAAGCTCCTCAGTAGGCAACGGAACGCGAAAACATGATGTAGCCCCAGCTGCACAAACACCCACGAACAAGTGTGAGGAGTGAGCACAAACCCCGTGGTGGAATGGCCAAGAACTGTTTGCCATTTTCCCAGAAAAGTTGTATCCCCGCTTGTTGAATGTGTCCTTCGTGATGTACTTAGGACACGTGTCTTTCAAGACACCCCATTTGCCATCGTCATCAGACCTGTCAGACAAAGCAGTAACGCTCTCAATAGACGCAGCCAAATGTTTCCGCCGACCTTCCTCCTTATCTATTCCACAAACCTTCAGAACCCTGACAGCTCTCTGGGAAAGGCGAGGCATCTGGACCCTTTTAAACAACCCTACACTTGACTACTTCTTCGGTGAAGCGGCCAATGACCTCCCTGAAAGACGTTTCTCGCGCACGGCTTTTAAAGGCTTTATGGGCAGGGACATTAACAACCTCACACCTGTAGAACATAGAAAACAACCCACAGCCCACAAGCTTTTTTTTAACTAGTGGTAACAGGTACATTAGCCCATGACATCAATTTGGACGAACATAGAGCTGGCCAGTGACAGATATGCGAGTGGTCCTATTCACAAATCTTACCGTGCTCAGGAGCCTTTGAGGGAACTCGCCCTCCTGTCGCGCCACTGCGCCAACGTCCACAGACGATTCGAGGTTCTGGACCTCGGCCACGGCTGTGTCGCTAACCAGCTCGGTGGCAGCTGAGTCACTTGGCAAGTCGATGGGTTCATGAAGCACCATTTCCCGACCGGTACTGAGGACAGATGCTCGATCACCCTGTTCGGCACCGCAACGGGTGGACAGAGAATCATGATCTTTCCGCTCTAGATCCATCTTGATGCTGACGGCCACCTCACCGCCTTCCACGGAGGATTCGACGTTCTGCATCTCGGCCATGCCTGAGTCGCTAACCAGCTCGGTGGCTGCCGAGTCGTCACCCAACTCTATGGCTTCATGAAGCACCATTCCCCGAGCGGTGCTCAAGACAGATGCTAGACCACCCTGTTCTTCACCGCAACTTGTGGGCGAAGAATCACCATCTTTCCGCTGTGGATCCGTCCGGATGTCGACAGTCACCTCACCGCCTTCCACCACGGGTTCTCCTCCTTTCTCATCGCCATGAACCCGAGCTTCCACCACGGGTTTTTCTTCGTTTTCATCGTGGCCAAGAACGGGAGCTTGCACGGACGTCCACTTACCTCCCTTAACGACACCCTCTCGCGTTGTGGCCACAGCCGAGCGACTGTGCAGAACCTCTTCGGACGTCCCGATCACCAGCGCTCGTGCGTGGAGCCACTTCACGTCTTCACGAGCCGGCCCGTGTCGAGTCYCCTCTCCCYGYTGTACAGCATGCGTTTCCCCCGGAGCTCCTGCACTCTCGCTGTCAGTGTCCACGGACGCACCCTCCGAAGCATGACGTTCACACTCGCTACCCCCGGTCTCCAACACTTTGCGAGACTGCCAGCGTTGAGTTTCCTCTTCCCGATGCACAACACACGTTCCCGGAGGGCGCTCGTCTTCCCCACGAGTGCAACGTTCGTTCTCGCTACCCCCATTCTCCAACACTCCTGGAGCGGGCCCCTCCAGCACGTCGCGAGACCGCCAGTCTCGAGTCTCAACACATGAGAAAGGAGGCGAGCAGGGTAACCCTGTGTCCAACTGAAGATGTGGGGGCCAGGACGTCACATTTTCTTGGCCCCGCGGAATTGTTACGTGAGGAGCACTTATGGCGTAGGGCGACGACAGCAAATCCGAATGTATTCAGAGTTTGTGGCGGTCGCCCGAGCCGAGGGAACCGGAGGTCGCACCTTCGCTCCTTCGCAATGCAGGCATCCCGCCCTCCAGGCAAAACGAAGACGCGCCCTCTTTCAGGAGCAAGGTGTTGAGCAGAGGAGCCTCTGCTGCGCACGACGGGATGGACTCTCCTGGGCAACGGGAAACAAACTCCTCGCAGACAAGTGCAAATCTACTCGCACTTGATCAGACATCAGGGTGGCCTCGTCTCTAATTAGTTTGCCTTGTCCTGGTTTTTTAAAGACAATCGTCTGTCACCTGGGGCTGACGGGGAAGGTCTTCTAATTTCGACACTCTTTGTCGGTGGAGGCAACAAAGGGATAGGGTGGGAAGGAGGAGGGGGGAGAGGAATTTTCTAAGCACTAACTATTTTAGTACTACACAAGTGCCTGGGAGACAGACGGTTGTCTTTAAAGAACCAGGACAAGGGTATTGCATCCCTAATTAGGCTAATTGCACTATGTCCACCTTAGTTGGCCGTGACACTCCCTCGGTGATATTTGGTTTCTTCTATTATGGATAACAAGATTTCAGGGATAGATGAATCATGGCTGGTGTTTGCTAGAGCAGTAGTGTTCTGAGCTCTTGGTTTGCTGATGCCAGAACGATGGTGGTCGGTGCTGGGGTGTTTGCCCTGTGACCTGTTTTGTAGCAGGAGTGTGAGGCCAGGTAGAGAGATCTGGGATTTATCGAGGGAGGAAGGCAATTCAGTGGTAAACTAGGAGGTACTACCAAGACAACCTTTGAGGCCGGGTATAGTTTACGTAGCGGGAACACGACGACGCGCTTTCAAGGATCTACGTCCAGCGCAATCCTGAAAACGAGAAGGTGAGGTGAAAGACAATATACATTTGTATCATATTCCAACGAAATCACACGTAAGCATTTGTGAGTCAAGCACACAATCACCATTCACGCATGCATAAAACGAGAGAGAGAGCATGTACAACCATCCCATTGAGCAAGGAAATTGACGTCTTTCGAGTCGCTATATAACTTTACTCAAACGATAACTTAAAGATGCGAAAGAAGAAGTGGAACCCTCCATTCTCGAGTTGTGGTCCCAAGCCAACCAACCAATCAACAATCATTTCTTACCTCGCTCGATCATTGACGATCCTAGTTGCCACGTACCCAGCCTTAACCCTAGCCACTGTCACCCTATCCACTCAACTACTAGGCAGATTCACCCATATCCTACACTCTGTTGCAGTCATCTAACGCAAAATCTCACATGATCAGGACTTTCCAACTCGCTGATGACCACGGCGATCTCATCACTACTTGAGCAGAGTTGGTAGATGAATTGTGAGAGAGCAAAAGAAACACACTTTAGGGATTTATAGTTGCGAAGGAAGCGAAGAAGGTATGATGACGAGGGATAGAGGAGGAGGAAGGGAAAGGGGGAGAAGGGAAAGAGGGGGAGCGCACACGAAAGGGTCATCTCGATCCGATCGAAGTGTTCGTAACCAATCTGATCGCAGAATGAGGGATTCAGAGCCTCCTTATACGCTATCGTCTCACTTCTACGGTAATTTGGGGATCAACATTGTCTTTCTTTACGCAATTGAAGACGGGAAAGGAGGTTACGAGAAACATCACATACCAAGACCAAGATTTAACTGGATCAAGAAGGCAGAAAGGGCACGATGGGAGGGAGAAAAAGACAGTTACAACCGGTCGATGACAGCGTGAAGAAAAGAAGAAGTGAGAGCGATAAAAAATTGCATCCAAGAGCGTGACTCAAAAAGATGCATTCGCGCAAATCATAAAGGCATCAAAACAGTTATCTTAAATGTCAGTAACGATCAGCCCAATCCCTAAAGCCAGATTGAAATTGAAAAGCTTAAAAGGAAATTCCTCACCCATGCGCCAAGAAGCGCGAAATTCTACGTTGATTCCTATTCTAACATCCATCAATAAAATTTAACATGGCTTGTATGAACGTTTCTAAAAATTACATGCACAAAGAAAGGACTCGACACAAAGTATTTTAACATGCGCCCATAATCTCTGGAATCCGGAAAGCCAAAAATATGCAAAGAAGTATGAGTCCTAGTATGAGTATTCCCTTAATCTATAACTGAACTCACAAAATTTGCCTCTAGAGTTGTCAGAAAGAACTCATGAAAGGAACTCTACAAACGTCTAGAGTGCACAGCTGGCAGCTCCCCATTTTTCAAGGTTGGCCCTCGTTTTTCTTGAGTTCACCTAGAGTAGAGGCTGACAAACGAAATGTTAGTTTTTTTTATTTAATATTGATATTTGTTATCGGTCAACTACCTAGAGCCCCCCGGTTGGAGGTGTCATTGGATGACTCTTGTATATTCATAGGGAGTTACACGTGCTAGAAATCGGGTGCATTGTCCCTGTAACAAATTATGACATCCTGATGTTAATTGGATGATAAACGAAGAGCAACATTTATTGCCCTCATAACCCCATAACCCTTCACCCCATGACTAGCTTCAGTTCACCGTGCTTCCCTCCGGCTTGAGACCACCTAACCACCAACCCTGAACCACTACAGCATTACGACCATAAGGACGTCTTCAAAAATCACATGCACAAAGACAGGACTTGACACAAAGTATCGTAACACGCGCCCATAATCTCCGAAATCTGCCAAGGCTTGCTAAGGCGCGCTTGAATCATAACTGAAATAAAAACTTGGACAAATTGCAAGGACAATTTTGAGAGTTGAAAAAACAAAGAAGAATTAAGATAATTGGATTAACCGATGCAAATCATCCTTCGAAACCATGCCTTGAAATTATGCCGAATCAGATTGATTGGAGTCGTCTGAACCTCGATATCACCACTTGGCAGGAATGTGGTTTGGAATGGGTAGAGGAACTAGACATGGGCTTAGAGCAGGGAATGTGCAAGCGAGGGCATGGGAGGCCCAGTCATTAAGGAGCATTCTGAAAACGAAAGGGGCTCAAAAACCAATTCATGCATGTAAGCTCGTACATCACATGTGATAGGTGGAACTGGGTATTTAAAACAATGCATCATTTGTGGTGGGCTTGCCCGAAGTCCCTCAAGTGGTGGCATTGGTGGTTCGCACATTTGAAGGAATCATCACAAAGGTCGGAGTCGCAAGGGGAAAGGTGGGAACCTTGCCAAACGATTTTGCGCCCAACAGAGGGTGGAGATACATTGCCCAAGTCTGTAGAGCAGTCATCTGGGGATTCGTGGCTGACCGACATGACCAACGTTTCAGCAATCACAGTATTCCGAAGGCCAAAGTCGAAAGGTTTTTTCAAGAATTTTCTCCAGAATGACATTCACGAGTAAGAAGGTTGACAGGGGTAAAAGCCAGAAGGAAGTATGGTTGTTTACAACCACCTGGCCCCGAAATAACGTAGTGGTTGAAGGTTGGGGGTCATGTGGTCTTAAGTTCTTCATGTGGTGGAATCAGTAAAATGCAGTAGGTTAGCTCTAGTTAGGACTCTCAACTTTTCGTTTCTGATGGGAGGTTGGGGAGGAAGGATAGTAGATCAAGGCTTAGACCACCCACTCGGTTGGAGTCTTGAGGGTAAGATAGTGGAGAGTGCCATGTGCAACCAGGGCACTCGGGAGCAGACACCCCTCCCACTCCACGTCATGATGGCTCAATTCCATTAGTGGGAAGTTGCACCTATGAGATATTGGGTCCAATATCTCTTAACATTTGATACAGATACACACAATTATATTGAAAGGGTACTCACTGTTTGTTGTGCCCACCCTCTGGGGAGGGCTGGGGCTAACACTTTGACTTAAGTTACAATGCACCTTTTTATGTCCTGTCGATGGAGGAGTTAACAGGGTAGGTAAAAAATAGTGTTCGGGGTATCGATACCAGTTTATGTGTTAAAGTGTGTCCCAACTCTCGGCTATGGGTCTCACGCCACTTATCTAGACTGTCGAAAATATTTTAGAGTCTGTGTAGGGTTGTCAGAGTCAAAGAACTCATGAAATTCCTGCCTTCGTTCTACTTGCTCTAGCAAGCGGGACTCATGAAGTTGGAGTGCACTACAAGACATCACTACCTAACAACTAAACGGTTCCTTAACAGACCTCCCATGCCCACATGTCCACATCAATAGGTATACAAAAGAGGGGCATGGTAGATACCTGATCCTTAGTGTGGGTTAGTGAAGGCAATGGGAAGGGATATCCACATCTGGTATAGCAGGACAGTTAAACCACCTGGTCCAATGCCTCGCCCAACTAAAAAAAACAACGCGGCGTGTTAAAGGCCGCGTCAAACAAAGGTCAGGGAAGAAAACGACCAGTTCGTCACTGTAGCTAAGCAAGCGACTCGACTATTTGCACAAAGAAAAAAAACAAAAACAAAGGTAAAAAAAAAAAAAAGCATTCATCAGATATCAGACTTATAAAGAAAAAGGAAAAGACAAGCAAAGAGAGAGAGAGAAAGAGAGCCAATAAGAATGAATCTGATTGCTTTGTAGCGGTAGTCTCATTCTGGATTTGATTACAAACTATCAGCGGGTGGGG